TCTTCTCTCTCTCTCTTTCTTTTTTTCCTTCTTTCTTTTTCTTTCTAACCTTTTATTGATTCTTTGTGAGTTTCTCATCATGCACCCCAGTCTCTCGTCTCTCCATCTCTTCATATTAGCCCTCCACTCTTGCAACCTCCCCAAAAGAAAAATCAAAAGAAAAAAGAACCCAAAACATAAAAACGAAATCTTGTCATGGAAGCTGTAGTATGACCCACAGTGTACTCTTTTGTCCACACACCTGTACTTACAAATGTTCATTGCAATGAGTCATTGGTCTGGTTTGAGACCTCTGACTTCTGCTACACTAACAATGCCAGATCCTCACTAGGACTGCTCTCAAATATCCTGTTGGTGCCCTGTGTCATGGAGATCCTACAACTTTTAATCTGCAGGACTGACTTCTTCACATCATTCAGTTGTTTATAGATGAGGTAGGTGTTGGGGTGGGACAACTCAAAGCCCTAGATCTGGGCCTGGGCGGTAGCTGAGTTGGTCTCCTGCACCCACATCAACAGGGCAAGCTTTCCAGCCCTGCCTTAGGCTAACTCACCCAATGCCACAGCCAGCAAGGGGGAGGAACACTTCTCTTTTTTTTTTTTTTAAAAAAAATCTATTTATTTATTTTATTTATGAGTATACTGTAGCTGTCTTCAGACACAGCAGAAGAGGGTATCCAATCTCATTAGGGATAGTTGTGAGCTACCATGTGGTTGCTGGGATTTGAACTCAGGACCTCTGGAAGAGCAGTCAGTGCTCTTTACCGCTGAGCCATCTTTCCAGCCCAGGAACACTTCTCTTGAGGAGTCCTTATTTTTAATAAAGACCAGGAGTTATTTCAAAGGCTTGCTGGTTCCCCGACCCCAACCCTAGGCGCACACCTTGAGAAAAGATTTCTTGACATAGCTCTAGCTGTCCTGGAACTCATTTTGTAGATTAGTCTGAACCCAAGCTCAAGGATCTGCTCTCTTTTGCTGAGTGTGTCTGATTTTTAAAATAGGGGCCAAGAGTAGGCTTAGAGTAAATGGATCTAATTCACATGACCCTTGACACCCACCCTGCTTTTCTTCGATGTAGGATAGTCATTAGATTGGCTTTAACCACAGGATAAGTGAAAGTTTTAATGAGAGTAAAATACACCAATCAGTCTACTCTAACCCAGATTATTTACTTTTTTCTCTTTTGTTTCATGATTAGTCATGAGCTAGCATATCGCATTGATGCGTATATCTAAAAAGCATCGAAATGGATTTTCTTTGGTACTAATTTCCTTGCTCTATCAAAAGGATAAATTTACAATTTTTAAGGCCTTTCTGGATTGGCAGGAGTTGGCTTGATTCTTTTGCTTCTAATGTTTGTGTAGTTGGCTCAGTGGTCAAGAACATTGACTGCTCTATAGAAGATGCAGGTTTGATTCTAGTACCTACATAGTAGCTTACAACAGTCTTTAACTCTCGTTCTAGGGGATCCAAAGCCCTCTTCTGGCCTCCTCAATACAAGGCACATAAGTCATGGACAGACATGCACACAGGGAAAGCACCCATATACATAAAATAAAATTAAAAGAAAAAGAAGTTAAAAAAAAAAAAGAATAGCTGAGTTTAAAAAGTCCCCTCTGGCCTTTGTCATGTCGGTTTTGGACTTGGTCAGCAGATGGAGCTGTAGATATCTTTATTGAACACAAAGTATTTCTAGTAATGATCAGTAAGCAGTAAGCTTTTAGAAACACTTCACATTTAGCAAAACAGGAAATAGACATTTCACATGGTTTTATCTGAGGAATCTTCATAGTGACTGTGTTGCCTTATACCTTTGTCATGGATTCTGGAAGCTTGAGCCTGTACAACCAGATAGCAGGTAGTAAATGCATATAGACGTGCATCTGTGATCCACAAAGGGCATGCTTGTATTAAAACAATCTCGATTTAACTCATTAAGAACAGAAGAAGGGCCAGGGTCTGTAGTGTGTGTTCTCTTTAATCATTTAGTTTGCTATTCTGAACATGACGTAAGAAAATAAGCCCTGGCTTTCCTACTTCATCACTCTGGTGGGTTCACAGAGGCTCTGCAGGTCCTTTGGCAGTGGACTGTAACATTCCTGGATGTTCTGTTTTGGAAGATCCTCTAACTGAGCACATGGTAAGGGGCAAGATGATTTTCTGGAGTCTTTGAGTTCAAAAGTCAGATTCTCCTCTCTCTCTCTCTCTCTCTCTCTCTCTCTCTCTCTCTCTCTCTCTC